TGACTCCTTGTAAAAAAGGGTGTCAGTTTTGTTGCCAGATAAAAGGGTAAAAGAGTTCTGCTTAAAAAAAGCGCATTTTAGTACTACAGTGGTGCATATTCAATGTCAACTGAATCCTTTATAAAATTAAGCGAATGCACATGAATATTTCGGAGTGGTGGCACAGTGATTAGCGCACTGCATAACAAATTCGGCAACCCGAGTTAAATTCCTGGTCACGGCTAGCATCAATGTCCCAGTGATATCAAAACGGATCATTGGCCCCATGTTTACCAAGCCACACTGGTCGGCATAGAGAAGGAGATCAAACAACACACATGACTAACATCAGAATATTTATTTATATTGGAGGAATCCGATGCACTGTGAAGCTCTTTTTCACAAATGTCCAGTAGACATGGCGTGGGGAGGCCAACATCCAGCAGGACATGTCAAATGGCTGCTCATCATTACAATCCTGTGCTTTGTTTATGCGTTCGTTTATTTGAAACTCGGTATTTCAGTATTTGGAATCGATGAGAGTATATTTTGAGCCACAATTGGTAATTTGCAAAAAGACAATTGGTATTATTCTATCGTTTCCTGAAGAAACAAAAGAAAGCGTTGTACAGTGTTCTTTAATTACGGCTCATTTTCATAATTTGAGATTCGGGCAGTGTGTTTCTAAACGGTGCCTTGGGGTATTTATTTCCCACGTTAAGAGTCGATAGCCCACCTTGGCAATTACCCACATACATTACCAGGCATCTGCTCACAATCCTCGGTCTCAACGGTCTGACAAATGGGCAAGCACGAGTGTCACGTGTTTGGGGTTCAACAAAGGTAGCTTGAATTGAATTTCAGTGTGCAAAGTGTCTCATGACTACTGACTCATAAGAGACGCACACTCACTGGCTTCAAAGTTTGATTATCGCTTGAATAGATGCCGTTTGAGTAAAGAATGGATTATAAAATCAATTGGACATTAAATATAAACATATAGTTCGTCGTATTATTTACCCTCATTAACACATTTTTTTAATAGATGCATTTAAGAAACAACCAATTAATTAAATAAATAGACGTGACTCAAATTATTTTTATATTAATTATTCTTCCTTTTTTTCTCAGCTGCTATGTTCAGTATTTGCTTTAAAATACAAAAACTGTTATTTTGTCAGATCATATGAGCATTTCAGACGGTCCATCATAGAGGTTTTTGGGTTAGATAACGTAAATATAAATGTGTCGTTAAACCCGCAACCACCCGACACAGCCAATTAGTAAGGTTTGTTACGTAAACAAAACATGCCAATTCGTGAATACTATAGCACACTAGTGTGTTGGAGAGCAAAGCCACGACATTTACAATTCGAGTATTACGTTTCGCCCGGAATTGCAACCAGCATTATCAGGCGACAGGCAGAGCTGTTGATAAATCCTCCTGTTTGGGTCTTCGTGCTAAACTGACATTAAGAAGGTTGTTCATCCCCTATTAGCAGAACTGCTTAGCCAGTGGTGGAAATTCCACATTCCCACGGCAGTGGCGGGTCTATCCGATGGACAACCGCTGTTGATTTCTCCCACAAAGCGCTACCCCGTTATCATGAATTAGACATTTGTCGTCTGCATAGCTGTCAACCCATACGGCTTAACCCTGTAATCTTGTGAAGGTCCAGACGGTGTACAGCCGTTTCAATGCGGGCACAAAAAAATCATGCAATTTGTCTGTTTTTCTCCATTGTGATTGTGACTTTGTAGGATGAACGTTGAAATTGTTAAAGGGCACGGGCTGACCAATATGGTCTGAATTAGTCTGTAATAAGGTCGGCACTGATAAGGGGTTGACAGGTATCAGTACACAAAAACTAGTAGGTAATTAAAAAAAACAAGATTTGTTTTGGTCTATTTGTTTGTAATAGATTCGAAGCTTTCGTGACTGCAGGAATTACTCTTTGGTTCTTTCGGTAAAGTCACGTAGAAATAAATCAAATTAAATAATAATAGAATGCGACGTTTCGATTGCAACACAAGCAACCATCATCAGGTACAAATGAATGAGAAAACAAACATAGTAAACTTAGAAATATAATGGCAGTACAACACAGAGAGTCGGCCAACACAACAGTCAACACCCTACCTGGTTGATTAACGTTCTTCCAAAGATTGCTAAATTTTGAGAGACAAAACACAGACACGGAGACACAGACAGACACACAAGCAGAGAGAGGCACACACAGAGACACACAACATAGACACACATACAGACACACAAGCAGAGAGAGACAACACAGAGACACAGAGAGAGACAAGTTCACGTTCAAGTTAATTTATTAGGTATAGCCCTGTGAGCCATTCAGCTCTTGAATCGGGTGCAACCGCAACAAACAAAAAACAAAAACATGAACAAAAAACAACACAGAGACACACCGAGAGAGACACACACAGAGACACACAGACAGACACACAAACAGAGAGAGACAACACAGAGACACAGAGAGAGAGACACACAGAGACACACAGACAGACACACAAGCAGAGAGAGACACACACAGAGACACACACACAGAGACACACAACATAGACACACATACAGACACACAAGCAGAGAGAGACAACACAGAGACACAGAGAGAGACAACACAGAGACACACAGAGAGAGACACAGAGACACACAGACACACAAACAGAGAGAGACACACACAGAGACACAGAGAGAGAGACAACACAGAGACACAGAGAGAGACACACACCACAGAGACACATAGACACACAAGCAGAGAGAGACTCACACAGAGACAACACAGAGACACACAAGCAGAGAGAGACACACACAGAGACACACAGAATGGACGTTGAGATTTATAAGGGCACGGGATGACCAATAAGGTCTGAATTTGTCTGTAATAAGATCGGCACTGATAAGGGGTTGACAGGTATCAATACACAACAAACTATTAGGTATATTTAAAAAAATATGTTTTGGTGTGTTTGTGTTTCTCCCTTGTGGTGAGACTTTGTAGGATGGACGTTGAGATTTATAAGGGCACGGGGTGACCAATAAGGTCTGAATTTGTCTATAATAAGGTTAGGGCACTGATCAGCTGTTTGACATGTGTGCGTCTGCTTGACTATTTTGATGTTACTTTTTTTTGAAAATCGTCGCGGTCCCTTGCTTGACGGTGTTGCGTAATATTTGCCTTTACTTGTGAAATCGTCGCGGTCCCTCAAATCGTCATTCGCGTTGATGTTTTCGCGTCAGCCTCGTTACGAACTCGTAGTCTCCGTCGCCTCGTCGCTTCTTGCTGCTGTTGTTTCTTCCTCTCAACGCTCGTGGTGAGTCTCTCGGCACTCACTTTGTCCTTCTCTCTCTCCCTTTGTTTTGTTGCCTAAACTTAAGAGTCGACCGGAACCGCTTGCCACAGTCGCTGGAGGCCTACAGAGCCCAGGGGTCACGTCGACCCGCTCGCTAGATTCCCCACCTCGTTTAAGCACGCCCTGCCCTTACCGCGCCGCTGATTGGTCCGCGCTACCCGGTTCGTTGCCTGATTGGTCAGGCGCGAACGGATACGCCCCCCTCGCGTGGTTATGGACCAATCCACGACGTCGGCACGTACGCGTTTGCTTATCCGTTGTAGGTAAAGCAAAGCGATAATTGTATAATACCAATTTGGCGTTTGCTAATGCGTTGTTATTCTAGGCCGCTTTTGGATAGTTTTGACCGCGACATCTTAAACGTTTCACTTGATTTCTATGCTCCGACGCGTTCAAATAATGACACCGACGCTGCGTTTCGGGAGGCCTCATCCAGCAGCGGAGTGCCAAAGGGCTGCTGTGTAGTGCACGGTTGACCATAGGACGCCGTTATCAAAGACACAACTACGTCGTCGGGATGAGGGGAACCTTGAATAAGGTGCTACTTTTGTATTTAAACCCCCCAAAAAGCCCACAAGATGGTTCACTGCTTGTTGCGTCAACAAGCAGTGAACCATTTGCCCCCAGCCTACGTCGTTGACATGCTGCACCCACATGCCCCCCTCATATACCCCCCTCATATGACACCCACATGCCCCCCTCATATACCCCCTTCATATGCCCCCCTCATAATTGTCCCCTCATATTCCCCCATATGCCCCCTTCATATGCCCCCCTCATATGACCCCCTCATATACCCCCTCATATGCCACCCATATGCCCCCCTCATATACCCCCCTCATATGCCACCCATATGCCCCCCTCATATACCCCCCTCATATACCCCCTCATATCCCACCCATATGCCCCCCTCATATACCCCCATCATATAACCCCCTCATATACCCCCCTCATATGCCCCCCTCATATGCCTCCCTCATATACCACCCTCATGCCACCCATATGCCCCCCTCATATACCCCCCTCATATGCCCCCCTCATATGCCACCCATATGCCCCCCTCATATGCCCCCCTCATATACCCCCCTCATATGCCCCCCTCATATGACACCCACATGCCCCCCTCAAGGTCCCTAAGATCTGGGGATGATGCAGATCCTCTCCTCTTCATGTCCAGGTCGAGGTTTCGGTCTCTGGGTGACCGAGCGTGTTCCCGTGTAGCCCCCAGGCTATGGAACACACTTCCACGGAGACATAGACATCTTTCTGAGTATGTGGACATTTTTAAAATGTGCCTTATAAACCTATTTGTACGCTTCCGATTATTAAACTTTTAGTTCATTTCGCAAACGATTCTTAGAATGTATTTGTAATGTTATTGTTATGGTGAGTGTCTGTGTCCTGTAGAGCGCTTTGATATCCTTGATGAAAAGCGCTGTATAAATGTAATTATTGTTATTAACGCTTGAACTTCAAACTCCGTGGTAATGGAAGGAGGGTTCACAGAGCCTGATCAATGTCATCCCCACCACGATTACCATCGTCATCGCTACGAGGATCGTCATCACCGTTATAACTGTTGCTTTCACCATCCTCACGGTTATCGTAACCACTGTTAACCGCTACAAACATCATCGTTAACACCAGCATAAGTATGGTTCTTCACCTGAGGACGGCTGCTTGCGTTGTGGCCGAAACGTCGTGAGAATTATTTTATTGTTTTATTTTTATTATTTTATTATTTCCTTTCTACGTGACTTTACCGAAAGAACCAAGAAGATATGGTTCACACCGTTGTTATTATCGTCAAGATAATCACGATTTAGTTTATTTTCGTGTCGGTATAAATTCAACTTATTAACTATAACCCTCCACCACCCGACAAAGCCAAACAAAAAGTTGTTACGTCGGCGAATGAAGCCAATTAATTTGGGTTCCCGTCAAAACCGGAACGTTTAACAGCAAGAGTAGGAATCATCGCCGCCGCCGCCACAATAGCCATCGCTACGAGGCTGTGGTCAGAATGCCACCCTCCGCAACGCCGCTGTACCATGGAAGATGAATTGGCCGCCGTCACGGTGGCGTAAGATGCGCACGGCGTTTCGTCAGTGCCGACGCGTGTTTTCCTCACCCGCGTGCAATCGCCTGTGTTTCCGTCTGTACCCTGCTCTCACTCAGGCCTTGCCGAGAACTCATCCGCCTCTCACCATGGCCAAGGTACGCAGCTACAGGTGGTTCCTCGGTCTGTCTTGGCAGGTTAACGTGCCCCCCCCCATTGTCATATTGTTATATTTTTATTATGTTATTATAAGCACAACTGATGTGTTCTACCGGCTGTCTTGTTGATATCCCAACAACTTTGTGGCAATGTGGTTTGTGTTATTGTGGGCTGGGTCGTGTGCTGGTAGTTTGTGTCGACCCGTTTATTGGGCTCGGTTTCTGCAGTACAGTGTGTTCACTCGCATAATTCCGTACAAAAAAAATGAAACGTGGAGGGAAAAAAAGCTGAGAAATGCACAAGAGGTGCATGCTTAAAATTACACTGAAACACAGAAAAACACATGAATCGGGAGATTTAAAAAAATGAGATACTGGTGGGCGAGACTAACCACAGCCAAAGTAGGCAACAGAACGATGCAATCACTTTTGTTTCCAGGAGCTGGTTGTGGCTTCTGCATACGAACTAATCACATCACTCCATACGTCGCATCCTCGGTCACATGAGAAATCGTGTGCCAATTTATTTAATGTTATTTTACTGCTGATCAATCTGTACTACGGAAAGTCAGCCACCACTCGGTTCATCGATGAATTATTGCATCGTATGACTTGACAGATGGTGACGATGTGGGAAAGCCTTTATCTAGCAGTGGATAGATCATGTGACTGCTGTGCAAATTGCTGTGGAATTTATTAGCTTGGAATTCATGATGAGGTGTGGCTGTCAACGGCATTGTTCACAATGACCTGTTAATACTGATGATATGTAAGATGATAATATACGTTTCACAATTATTCTTGATAAAGAATATGCTTATTTAATACTTTACTGTATATTAAATACCACTTTCTTACATATACTGCCAGATGTCCGCATGGTGTGAAGAGTCTGTCATGCAGCAGTGTATTATTAAAAAGGGCTGTACATGTATGTAGACCGCTTGCTTGTAGTTTATAGAGCAACAAAACGCTAATTTGTGATGAGTTCACTTGATTGGGTTTTTGGAGGAGTGGTGTGGTCAATATTAGCACTGGATAGATAAAGGCAGCTGGGAATTGTGGAGAGCCCATCACCCCACTTTGAGACCTTCTATCCTGGAATCAGCTTTAACAGGACCCTGCGGGGTGGGCTGGTAGGAACGAATAACCAAAGCATATAAACATAATGTATTATTACACTTGTTTAGCCATGAAAGCCCCACTGAGTCTAAAGGTTTTTGTAGGGTCCTGCCAAGTGTTTGCAGTAGGGGGCGATGTTGCTACACCTAATCGGACGATCCGAAGGGAGATTTTGAGGCCTAGTTCTAGGCTTTAGGCCTAGCTGTAGGCTTTAGGGCGCTGTGAGTTAATTTTTAATTTAAATGTTTTAATTATTAATGTATAATTTAAATGTTATAATTATTAATGTAAAAGCTTTAAATGTAAATGTTTCTATTTCAAAACAGGGAATGTAACATTGTTAAACATTAACTCCCTTTCACACACGCGGGGGTACGATACGAAGGGAGACTTTGAGGCCTAGTTCTAGGCTTTAGGCCTAGCTGTAGGCTTTAGGGCGCTGTGAGTTTTTTTTTATGTATTTTCAAAATTTTAATTAAAAGCTATCTCAGGGAATTATAAGGGAAGGTTACACGTGTTTAGCCAGGAAAGCCTCATTAATTTAAATGTTTTGATTAAAAGCTATCTGAGGGAATTATAAGGGAAGGTTACACGTGTTTAGCCAGGAAAGCCTCATTAATTTAAATGTTTTAATTAAAAGCTATCTGAGGGAATTATAAGGGAATGTTACACTTGTTTAGCCAGGAAAGCCTCACAGAGTCTAAAGGTTTTTATAGGGTCATGCCAAGTGTTTTCAGTAGGGGGCGATGTTGCTACACGTAATCGGACATCGGACGGACGGACGATATAATCTATTGTAGGCTGGTCCACTTCGTTCCTACCAGTAATAGTTGTACTTGACAAACATGGCTGTGGTGGCACACCTCTTTGGAGGTGGGGTTGATTCAATGTCACATATCTCTTTAGTCCAAACCTGCCAGGCTCTGAGGTTTGACAGAAGCTGGCAGTACAGCATTAACTTCAGAAGGACCTATCTACAGACTAATCATTTGCATGTATTCTAAGTCTAAGAATAAATCAATCCATGCATCCTTATGTGTGCATGCTTGGGTGTTGTCTGCTTCCAGGTGCTGGGTGGCCGTGTGCGCCTGGTGACGTACGTGGCGGGTGTGCGTGCGCTGGCATGTCGCGTGGCAGCTGGCAGGACCTTCTCCACATCCGGGGTAGCGGGAGGTGGAGAGAGCGACGTGACGGTTGCCTCCCCACAGGACGGAGGTGAGGCTGTCAGTGTATTTCAACATTGCTCTCTATGGATATGCTTGTAATAAACTGCAGGGAGGTCCAATTGTGGTGGGTTGCATTTGATGTGCATGGCCAGGTATTGATTTCACAAGAGTATCAAAGAATCAAGTCAGGTCGATTAGAGGAAACTAAAATATAGTGGAGGTGTGACCATGTCCAAGAAGAATGGTGACCATGTCCAAGAAGAATGGTGACCATTCTGACTGGAAGGATGACTGCAAGGAGCTACTGATGAAGGAAACATGCCCCAACAGTCCCAAAAGTATTTTCGGTTGTACCACATTTTTTCAATGGGGTGTCCAAAGGCAGGTCCTGATGAAGCTCCTGGCACGTGGAGAGTTCGACAACACGCGGTGCAACCCGAAAACACATCGCAGAAGATATCTTTATTTTTTATAACGTGCTTGTAATAATGGGGATTTTTAGGCTATACAAAGACGTTTTTTGTTTGTTTACCATCTTCCTTGCACAGACATCCAGACGGTTTGGCCGGACGAGCGGATGGGGCCTTTCGGGCCTCGCGACAGCCGCTTCCAGCTGCCGGGCAACATGGGCTTCAGCAGCCACGTGCACGGCGCCATGAGCCCGGCGTCCGCGAGAAACCTAGCAGCCGGCGCCCAACCGACAGCACGCCGTCAGCAGCTTCCCGACGTGCTCGTCGAACCCTCGGCTCAGGACCGCCACACGTTCGTGCTGGCGCAGTTCGTCAACGAGTTCCAGGTGATGGGTCAATAAACCTCTCCGCTCATGCGCCAGTGTTAGAATTTTCCCGTGGGAATACGTCGGCAGAGCTGGAAGCGCGGTGCGTGCTTGCTTGCTCTGATTAAATGTACGCGTGCCCCTTGAATTCTAAGAGAATTGGGTTTGGCACATCGTTGCGCTCGTGTGTGGCGGTTCAATTTGCACCGGGCTAGTGCAGTTCAGCAGTGACTTTAAGGTGGCAGATCACTGCTATATTTTGTCTGGGAATTTGACAGCTGAGTTGGAGCCGAAGTGTTCGCTTTTATTGATTAAATATGCACATGTATTGTTTAAAGATTTGCAATTAAAATGTTAACAATAGCTGCTGTCGGGCAACTTGAAATTCAGGTTTGTGGGTAATGCAGAGATTATGGGTTTTCTTGAATAACTGGTTTTAGCAAGAGTTTGAATTTCTCCTACATTTAAATTATTAAACAAAACCATCAGCTATCTCTTTGTCAGCAAAATTCCACGGCTCTCTTGCGAAACCAATCACATTGTCAATGGGATGTAGCCGAGTTAAATAGCAACAGGAAGACTGTGCACTTGCCAGTGCAGTGACACATTTTGTCAATTTTGCTTGGCAGGGCATGGAGAGTTCGCCCGTGCCTCCGATCCCGCAGAGTGCCGACACGTACTTCGACTCGGGTCCCGTGGAGTGCGTGGTGCAGGGCTGTCCTGAGCTACTGCAGAGAGGTGAGCCTCCTATCTTAGACCACGTACATGTAAAGTCCACTCTTGTCAATCCACTGCTGGATGAGGGCCTCTCCACACCTTGCGGAGCATACGAGGGTTATTTTGACAGTATTTCACCACGCTAGTCATTGCGGGTTACTCAATATCGGGGGGGGGGGGGGGGGGGTGGTAGGGGGAGTGCAGTACAACAATATCATTTTATGCACTTGCCTCTACTGTCCCACCATGCCACTGCACCTGTCTTTTATGCATGGCAGTCACCCTTCCAAGCACAATTCAAGCTCAAGTCTGCTGAACTTCCGAGATCTGACGAGATCCAGTGCATTTTTGGGTGTTATGAACAGACTATGACCATACGACCATGTTTCTTCTCACATTTATATGCCAGTGGCATACGATGAAGCGTAACCAACATCTTTTTGGAATTCTTGTGGACAGAAGTGTATCATCCAATGTGCAAGAATGACTTGGGACAATGACATAACTACTTTTGAGGTCCCTTCATTTCCCTATTATCTACTATAAGTGGTGCATATTCTCAGATGTCATGTTATAGATGGAGATGTTTGATGAATAGCAATAAGATTGAAACATTTCGTTTGCAATGCTGGTATATTCTATACTACGTTAAAAAGCTTATTTTGCATATTTTTTTTGTGTGTGCAGTCCTTTGAGACTGTGCTCTAAGGATGAACTCCGCTACACTTGAGAACCTGGTTTAGTTATTGGTGCCTTCCTCTATTCCAGACCAGAATCTCAGTGGTTGGCGCTAACCCCCCGGTCCACCCGGCCACCTCATGAGACCACCTTTCCAACCATTGCACGCCATACAAAACAAGTTGTTCTGGACACCCAACACACGTTTGTGGGTGGCTGGTGACCTGTAAAATAATGTCAAGCTCGGGGTAATGCCATTGTTTGAGTGTTTTTGTGTGTTGTATTTTTCTTTTTGTTTCCTCCCACACTAGATTTCGCTACCATGTTCCCAGAAGCACCGAACTCAGACCTCACAGTCATCACAGTTACACAGAAAACGCAGAATAACATGACGGCGTGGAGCCCCGATGTGGAAGAGGAGAGAGATCGGTTGATGCAAAATGTGAGGCTCCAGTTGGCGTGCTGTGCAATACAATACCATTTGGATTTATATATTGTCTAAACGTTACTGCATCTCAAAGTGCCGTACAGAATCAGACTGCCTGAGCCTGTCGAAGATTGATTAGCTGTCGATTTGAAGTTTTTGTGACTGCAAGGGTCCATACTCTTTGGTTTTTTCGGTAAAGTCACATAGGTAAAAAAAAAATTATAATAAATTAAATCACGACGTTTCGGAGGCAACACAAGCTTCCGTCTTCAGGTGGAACCGTCACAGCAAAATTACTGTATCAGTAATCAGATACAGTAATTTTATTATTTTATTTTTTACCTACGTGACTTTACCGAAAAAACCAAAGAGTATTGATTAGCTGCTTCACTAGAAAGGCGTTGCTGCAGCATGGAGAGTGTGCGGAGGGGAAGTAGGATGAGACAAGAAGGGAGAGAGGTAGGTAGTGGCTTGGTAACAGTGAGTGTGCCCTTGAAATTGATCCGGGATTGGATTGGGACCCAACGGAGGTTTCGGAGTATTGTGGTGATGTGGTCTCATTCATGGGTGCGGGTCAGAAGTCGAGTAGCTGCATTTTCGATCTTCTGGAGTGTGGATACGAATAAGAGCCCTTGGGGAGGCTGGAGAGAAGAGGGTGGGAATATGGGTACATTGAGTCATTTCCGCACGACCTTCAACCTGAAAAATTGTTGAAAAGGAGAGTGGTTTTTGAGACACTTGTTAATTACGATGTGAGGCTTTTGGGGGTTTTTGTCATTTATTTTTCACCAAATTATATTTGGCCTCTAGGCAAAGAGTGAATTTCCCTTTTTTCTGGTAGCCCCTGCAGCTGTCAAGAATCATGTGTCCTATTAGGTAATTTAGAAGTGACAGGTGTTTTCCTAGCATACATCAGGGCCCTGTATTCCAGTCGATTTTCTACTCTTCAATTGTGCAGGCAAATATATTCTGCTTGCGGTGAAATATATACCAAATCTTAGCACTCATTGGTGGGCAATACTTTATTATGGCAGGATGGAAAAGCAACGGTTTTGAAACGTGTTATAGTTGAATGCTAAATGTTTTCAACTAATCCAATGTAGCTGTACATGCCGTATGGATCGCAGAAAACCGCTAGAATGTGCACGGTTGGCGCATTTCTTGGTGATGGGTCTGATGGTTTATACTTCAGCACAGTCATAGTACGGCGATTCTTTGATCTTTTGTTTGTGGAAGGTGTACGCGCATCTCCCACAGCGCGTTCGAGAGCGATTTAGCGAGGTCCGTAGTGTTCGTGGGAGAGAGAATCCCGGTGCTTCCAAAGTCGTGTCGTCAACGAGCGTTTTGTTTTCCACGTCCATAGGCGCCCATAATTTCGTCCTGCCAGTGTTGATGGTTTTTATTTTTGGCTACTATCGCACTTTTGAGATGTCTTATTATAAAATTAAGGTTTCCTGTAGTTTATGACCAATCTTGATCATGATATATTTCAAACCTCTACTACATATAATCATTAAGATATTTAATTTTGGCTGGAGGAAAGTATGTTTTACATACATACAAAATTTTTTCTGCATTTGAAAAAATCTGGAGCATGACACAGGCACGAAATGGGCTGCTCTTTTAAAACATTGTGAAAGGATCAGATTGCACACACCTTGGTTATTTCCCAATGATGCTACCACGAAGAGGCAGGAATACAATGTTACTCTGCAAACTGGCTCGGATTTGAGTACACCATTCATCGCGTTCAAGTCCAGCCCATGTTTGAATGCATGCCTCTTTCGTTGTGCAGTTTGTGGAAGGCGCTAAGGAGATCTGCTTTGCCCTGCGTGCGGAGGGATACTGGGCAGACTTTGTCGACCCTTCGTCCGGAATGCCTGTGAGTAACCCCCCCTGCGTCTTTCATTTTCCCCTTTCTTTGCATAACCCTTGATCTCCACACTGCTGTATTCAGTTATATCTCACCTTGATTACTGCAGGAATCTCTTTCCAATTGGTAAGGTTACCATGTGTTTGATCTCTATAACATGGGTTGTTACTCACAATGGTGGTAAAGTATTTTCAGCCTCTTTCGTTCCTCTACAAACTCCCAGAATCCCTGGTATAAAAACTTTGTTAACATTGAATGATGCTTCTAGGGCCCTTTACCAGGTCTTGGAAACGAGACCGAATCAACCCGATCTTACCCCTACCATCCACCCCTGCATTGGCCTCCCAAACACCTGCGTATAAACCACAAAACTACCAATCGTCAAAATAATATCCGTTTCGAATTACTTTCCACCTTGACGCCAACAGCTATATCAGGCTGCCACATGCTTGTGTGCCATCTGATGGGGCTGTAAGGTGTTTCATGGTTTTTCAGTAATATGAAGCCTAGGTTTTTTTTACTTTTGAGAGTGCCTAGTTACAAGCAGCTGCCATCGCCACTCGGACGGAGGGGGGGGGGGGACCGTTATAGAGCTCAGCAGCACCTATCAAGACAAGCTTTGGGCCACTCATCTCTCTTATGTCCTCCACTCTGCCAGGCACGGTGGCACACGTTCAGAATGTGGCTCTTTGAGGGAAAAGCGTAATGGATCACACAGATGTGTTGTGGTGCAAACCACGACTCAGAGGCAGGTCTTGTAGGGGGCTTTCGCCAAGTTTATTAGGGGCTTACGCCTAAGTTGATACAGCTCCCGCCTACTCTCCACGGCTATCTATTTCTCCCCCAGGGAAGGGGTACTGGGAGTCCCTAACACCCCCCCCGGCTATCGGGGCTCTTCACCCTGCACCGGCCGAGGGCTCAACCAACTTTGGCCGGTTGGGTGAATCAGAGCCACCCTTAGCCTCGTGTGAGGTTATCCTACCCTGGGTCCCAACTCTCTCTCCTCGTTCCCTGGTGCTCTTGACGACACCGCTTACGTCACGGGGTCCCCCTTAAATATCCACTTGGGACATGATGTCACCGTCCCCCGAGGTCTCCCTGACCTCACGCCCTCCGATGTCACTCCCTCGGAGGGCGAGCATGACGTGCCGACACCCAATACTCCTCTACAGATGTATGAAACTCTCACACCCACTGTGCTGCGTGGTGACCAGGAGATGACAGCACAAAAAGTGGGTTTTTTATGAACCTGTCTCTGAACACATTTCAACGCTGTAAGCTTGGGTGTTCTCCAGGTTCTACGGTTTTCTTGCACATTCCAAACTTACATTCAGGAAGCCACGCCGGTTGTCACAGCCACTCTTAAATGTAGTCTTCCAGGTTGGGCTGCGTGTTAGAATTCCTTCTCAAGTTTTTTCCTTGCGTTACTACAGGCATCTTCCGGAGTCAGAGTTAAGATGTCCGTAGCAGTGCATGGTGAAAGCTCGAGAGGAGAAATGCTCAACCCTAAAGTATGACCCTCTTGAATCAGACTCTTGAGGCTCGTTGATGTTTTCCCGTATATACAACTCACCTGTTCTGGTATCATAATGTAAATTTTCACTACGCCCTGCTTTTCTTTTTAGTTCTTTGGGCCGTACACGAACAGTCCCCTTTTCGAGACGGACGGACGCTACCGGCAGCTGGGCTTCCAGGTGGAGGACCTGGGCTGCTGCAAGGTGATCCGTCACCGCACGTGGGGCTCCCACGTTCTGGTCGGCAGCCTCCTGACGGACGCTCCCACGAGCAGCTCGCTGCTGGGTGGCCTCACGCACAGCGGCGGCGCCGGGGCCGGAGCCATCGAGCCTCGGCCCACCTCGGGCACGGAAGGGGATGCCGAAGGGCCGGCTGGGGAGGAGAGCGGGCGCTGTCGAGTGGCGGCGAGCGCCGAGGTGAAGGACGCTTAGGGGGGGGGAGGGGCGTTTATTTTGTGTTTTGCGCACCATCGTGGGGAAAGCCCACAGTTGCCTTTTGGGCGGCGCAGCGCAGAGTACGTGGGCAGAGCGCGTCTGATTTTGCGCGCATCGATGGAAATGGATGCTTTTTGCGGCTCGCTTGTGCGTGCTTCGAATCGTTGGTGTAACAACGTGTTATTTGAGGAGGCGAGGGGGGTGGCGTGTCCTGAAAAAAACATAACCCACGGAAGTTAATTGTCTACAAAGTTGGCTTTTGTTGAGAACTGGTGCATTACATGAATGAAAAAAAATCTGCTGTGCAGCCATCTTTGGGGAGATACAGAAAAAACGTTCAAAATTGGATTGTAAATCAAGCTGGCATATGTTATCTAAAATACATGTGTGGGTTATTAAGCTATTTTCAGGATACTCCTGCATGATTTATGAAAATGATATTTGAATGTTACCATTAGACTAATGGAACCAACAACACAACGAACCAGATTGAACAAATAAGACTGACAATACGAGCAACGTTACACACTAAACCAGAAAATAAATCGATTATTAAATAGGATAGTGACCCTGCACATTGACAAAGTCACCAAATTGTCGGGAGGATGGTGAATAGCTACATTATATAATAGGTCATGAAGTCATTAACACCTTAAAACCTCCAATAGGTATAAATATATAACGTGGAAGTGCATACATTGTACATTTTGCAGTGGTAAATCAACATGGTAATTGCACACCAGTATCACACTTGTTCATAATCTTCAGTGTGATGTAGCCCTTGCTATCTTAATATGGCAACTGTGTGATGGTTTCGAGCACATCTGTCTTAAACTGGGTTTCACATATAACCTCATGGCAAGGGCATGCAAAGAAGGAGTCAACAGACCCCTGCCATTGTAATTTGGCCACTCACATCAATGACATAATGTACTTGTGGTGCATACGTAGCTAACTGATTCGCACGGTTGGCTACGTATGGTTCGAAATAAGTTCAACATACACGAAATGACAAAGACAAGAAGTTGAATGTTAATCTTTATTTTAGTGTTTGGTGCGGCCACCTGCAACGATACAACGAGGCTTTACCGTGTGTGTCATTGAATTGACGAAAGAACATAGTGTGTCTCAGTCCTTCCAGCAGCCATGAATAAAATTCGAATTAAATGCTTTGTATGTATGTTGAACCTCTTTTGCGCCCTACATAGCCAACCGTGCTCTCAGGTGAGGATTCAGATTCTTCCACGGGTATCCAAATTGTATTCACTGCTGGGCGTCGAGATACCCACGGAAGAAGATTTAATATCTCATTTTTTCTCCCAGGCTGCGGTCGCACGTGCGGTCTCGTAGTAGTACCAGTGTTCAGAACCATTTCCTGAAGAATATGGACGTGAAACCGAGGTGTGCCTTTTGGTGCAAAAGCAGGATAATGCTTCTTTAAATTTCTCACTCTGTACCCACGTTTGTTTAAGATGTTACTGGAGATGACGTTGGAACGTCCTCATCTCTGTTGCATGGTGGATGTCGACAAGAGTGTTGTTGCGAGGGGCGAGTGTGGATTCATCGCCTCTCGTGGTTGCTCAAGTGACGCTTGAACCCACGATCGATTCTTGCGCACGCAATTTGATGCATGTATCGTGAGCTTCAGAATCGGCATTAATTGATGTATTGATGCATCGTGCCACATATTCTTGCTACCTTGCCACCACATCTGTGCCTAGGGCTTTTTTCTCAACATCCAAAGTGTGAAGCAAGCATAATTTTTGCTTTGCCAATTAATAGTTTAAAATGTTTTTTTGTTTGTTTAAGCTGTTGGTTCAATCAAGCTGATGTGCACATATATGTGATCTTATGTGGCTTGCGGGCTATTGCAGGAATTTCTGTCATGTGATCTTGAAGCCTAAAAGGTGTTAGCTGTTGAGTCTGTTCGTATTTTAGCCTCTTTGTCCTTATTAGCTCATATTCTTTCCAGCAGATGGCGAGCTTCATTAGCTGGAGAGGATGTTTGTGTAGGTATTTGGTTGCTCGGTTTTGTTTGTCAGACAGAACGGTCTGGTCCGTTTATGAGAGCTGGTGTGAACCACATGTAAGCACACGTGCATGCGTGCACACGTATACAAATGCACGGGCACACGCACACAAACAAAGACATTCTATGTATAGACAACAGACATGGGGAAAATGCTGCTGGCTAGCATTCAGCGAGCATGGAGCTCACACACGAAGACACACATACAACCACTGAATTATTGTCCACACAAACATACATTGTACATACGTGCGCACATACAATCACACAGACATTAAGAAGCCAAACGGATAACGTACGGTATGAACTACAAACACATTATAACGCACACGCACAACATTTGGCAGGAGTCTGCTATATAGATCTTATGTAAACAAAAACTGATTTTCCAGTAGTGTTTGGCAATGGTTTAAATTCAAGGTTTATGTACCGAGTCTTGAAGAACGATGCATCAGTATCGACAAAGCCCCTTTTCACTGTTGGTGCATTCACAGCACACGGGTTCTTGCAATGTAGCAGCAAGGTGATTTAACTATCCACGCATTTGTTTTTGGACAACACTTGTACAATGCATTGGGGAAACCTCTTAATACCATTAACAAGTGAAACGGCCTTAATTTTTAATTCAGCCTTGTTCATTGAAATTCAACTCCGGATATGTAATGTAGTGTTTAATTTGCAGTCGCATTGCTCTTTTACAATGGCCTGTTACGTATATAAGACGGTGTGTAGTGTATATATTGGCATATGTACGAGTACCTTGCTGTCATGCAGTGGGATGAAATTACCTCTAGTTGAAATACACTGGTTGTGTGCTGATAGAGGAATGCCTTTTGGCACGCAGAAAGGGCATTGACTCTAATTTGATCAGATGCTTCATTTTAGTTTTCATGTCCAGCTTTCAATTTCAAGGTTATTTTTGGCTGGCCATGTGAGAACTCAAGAGACCAGGATAGTCTCATTTGCAAGCAAAAATACAAATACAGATACTTCTCTACTTACAAACATTCGACTTTCAGAGATACGAAGAAACCTGTCTGTATGTCCAGTTGCCTGTTGGGACCGAGAGTCGTAAGTTCAACTGCCGCGCAATAGATGGCAGTGGTGGCATCTAATCTGCAGAACACGAAGAACCAGTTACATCTACAGGATAGTATACGACATTTAAAAGCTATTCCCCGTATTTCGTGTACTTACCGTACACCATGTTTGGAATCGACAGGAGTGACGTTGGACTTAAGAACAAATCGAATTACGAACAGACCTCTAGAACCGAACTTGTTGGTAAGCAGAGGAGTTCCCGTACAATAAAGTGGTGCTACTCCGAATTGACTTTACACGCCTAATTTGTATCCATTGTTTATGGAGTGTGCAGTAATTTGACTGACTGCAATGTTGGCGATTACTGCAGAATGTTCTCTGCAGTGGATTTCAGCAGCTGCTGTTGAGTTTTGGGTAATTATAATGTTGAGTTCATTTGGTATTCGCGGCCATTCTTTTCGGTAGGATTGTATTACGTGCGATGTTTTGCGTCGTTTACAGTCGTGTCACAGCAGGGGGCTTTTTGATAGATTATCCCCGATTGAGTAAAACAGTTCAGTCACTGCAGACTTATTGCATGTTTGGGTACATGTTATGTCAATTACTACACCGTGGCAGGAGTGATTTGGCCTGCTATAATTATAAACGCAGAGTTTCCAGATGGAAAAAATGTCCCTCTCTTACCCGATTAGTGTGGCGAAGATGCTTGTGGTGATAAATGTAATTTTGCGGGTGATTTTTAAGTGGTAGGTCGCATGTGTCTTTGGCCCATACAAAATGCATTTGTGAGCCGTAGTTTTCTCACTCTTGCTGCAGAGGTTGGGTTCGTGGATCATTCAGAGGGCATGAGTTATGTTTCACTTGCAAGAGAAATAACCTACCTCCCTTTGTGCAGTAATGCGGAGGTTTTTCGATGTACTCCTCGTGGATACAAGGTTATGTGAGTTCTCCTCTCGCCATGCGTAGGTTTTCTCCAAACACTTTGCATGTGCAAAAAACAACTAAAAAAATCTTGAGTATTCCAAGAGCGACGGGTGAAGTGTCCGAGGTTTCATACGTAGGGGACAGTCGAATTAAAATCTGAAATGAATAATACCTGGTGAACGTTCGTTCGTATGAACATCAATTTGTCAGCAAGGCGCACGAATAGAATGTGTAATGCAGAACAAGTAGAATGTGTGTCGCACATCGACTACTATGTACGTATACATTGAACTTCCTTTGCACCGTACGTAGCCAACCGTGATAATCGGACGTGCGGGGGGGGGGGGGGGGACAACAACTAATTAAACACAACAAACTTAACACATACAAGAAGAATGTGTGTCACACATCAGATACTGTGCATAATTCTCCAACTCAACCGAACCCAAAACACATTCAGATGAATTGATAAGGGAAGAAGATTGTTCAATTGTCTACTCTTTTCTTTGCATAATGCACGCAATTTTAGCCATGGAATTTAAAGCGACACGCAGGATGATAAAGTTTGGACTTTGAATTTTTTAAGTCATCTCATCAAATTTTTATTTACGGCTGCTAGAAGGATTGAGACACTCGCATTTTAAAGTTTAGTGCCAGCAGCTGGCATTTTTAAATAAATGTTTTTCAGCATAAAATTAACACTGCATTACCACCTTGGGATTGCAAGAAAGCTTCTGAATGTTTTTTTTTATGATTTCAGAAGTTTAACTAAATTTTTTAAACAATTTTTAAAAAAAAATTAGCACGATCTTTAAACTGATTTTATGAAAACTACATTTTTAATATCAATGTATAGTCATTTTGATTATTGTTATCATTGCTATTAAAGTGTATCTATAATTTTAAACAATTACCCAGTTATATATTGCAAGACATTGTAAAGGTCAGTGTATCCTTGTGACACATTCTCTAATGTATCATTGTGTTTTGTGAGATTTTAGTAATGTGTTATTAGGCTGTATTTGAAAATGTGTTCCGTATGTACAACAGTACTTCAGGATATCAACTCTTATCACCTGTTAATAACACAACATACATCGTCCAATCGGTATGTATTTATATTGATAATGTAATGCGTACAAATATGAATGTTACAATTGGATAACACACAGGTACTGTTGTCGGCTGCTGTTTATTTGAGAAAAAGAAATAAACTATTTTGCCTAGAAAGACAAGTCAAGTATTCAAAAATGTCCTGGTACTTTTATTTTTCTTCTATGTTAATCTTATTATTTAACACGTAAGCTTTCGTGACCAATCTGAGTCTTAATTGATTTTTGGATCAGATTACCTAAATAATCAAATGAATATGTGCGTCGTAAGCACGTTTTACTTAGGCGATATGACCCAAAGATAAATTATGAGTCCATCTGATAATGTTTTAGGAGTTGCCTTGTGTCTTTACTCTTATAGCACAAATGGGATGAAACTTGTTCTAAACTCTATTACCTGTAGAAAGTAGAGAAACATACCTGGATGACCGGTGGCTAATATTCCAGAGCGCTGAGCTTATTCCATTGAGCCACGATTTCGAATCTTACAACGACCTCTGATAAAAACACGCGTTCGTCGTGAGCGAGATGATGGTTTTAGTCTGGCCACAATGGCAACAAAAACTACTGAATTTTGTGCAGCTTTTGCTGACAAATTCCAACTGGCGACGACTCCATTTTCGAGTATCAAACATGTTGATGTTATTTCCACATGAGGTGCACCACCTACTGTGGGTGAGGCTCACTAAAGTGACTTGAAAATCTGATCGATGGTCAGTGGAATCATGTGGTGGGTTAGGCCCCTTTTGCAAGGAATTAAATACCCCCTCCAACCGCTGTCCAATTTCACTGTCTTCCTCACACGGTACCTGGGCCCCCTCATGCCCTGTGGGCCTCCGGTGTGGTTTCATAGCCTGCACACTCAGATTCCACATCACCGTTTATAACATGTTTTGGAGACTTCCATGGCACGATGCATTGGGGAGCTGTGAGAGTTTCATATTTCTAAATATATTTTTCGTGATGTGACGCCGATGCTGATGGGACAGTTATAATTTTGGGAAAAGGCAAACTTTGAACAAGTTGACGTGTATTGTCCTTTTGATGATTTCACAAAGGACGAGTCAAACATTTGCACACTGCATTTACGCTGCCCTCTCGTCACAGAGCATTCTTACCTGGGGAGTCCCATGTCACAGTTTTTGAAGATTATTTATTTAAAGGATTTTAAGGGCTCACCTTAAAAGTACCACTGCTCGTCTAGTAAAAATAAAATCTTCGAGCTCGTTCAAACACTCATCCATCACCACTACAGCTATGCAGGCTTTTATCTCACGCCATCACCGAAGCCATGTGTGTTTTTCTTCATGGAGAGAATGCGTTCACAGAAGATGCAAAGTGGAATGATAAAGTTAGGAATTTGAGAATGGAAAAACCTCTTTTCAGAAGACGTGTTAAAATAACACAATCTGCACGCACGCACACTAGATCATATACACGCATTCATAACGCGTGCAAGATTATATTTCCATACATTCCTTAATTTTACGTTGACAAATGTGCTCTCAATGAAACCACAATGACCGTTGAAAGGTTATGGAACGCTGAAATTGGCTGTCTGACCTTAACGCCTTCAAGGAATGAAAAAATAAACATTCAAATTAAATTGATATCCTGCCACATTTGACCTTGCTTCACACTTTGGAAACTTATTTTCTGAACGACATTTTCATTAAGAGGTGACCTGCAAATGAGACCTTGTGCGTTTTTTTTTGGTTTGTTTTGATGACATCGCAACCACGTTATTGAAAGGCAGGTGGTCACACGGCATGCCACGATGACTTTAATCGATCGATCACACTAGACCCGTCCTCCAGACGAGCGTGATCGGCCCGCGTTTTCACCGGAGATGTTATTCAGCATGGGGTACGCTTCCTAAACGCCTTCCTTGCACACACAAAAAAACACGGGGGAAAGGCCAAGGGTGTCCCCGTCTTGGAGTCTGCATGGAGGGGCGATCAATCACTCTTGAGGACGTGGCTGGGCACAGGGAATTACGAGAACCCTTTGCCAAAGATCCCAAGCGCCGCGTCTTTTGGATTTCGAGAGGGGAGAGGGAATAAGTGAAAGCCCCCCATTACCACGTGCGAAGAACCGTAACCCCACAAAATGTCACAAAAATTAGCTGGATTTGTACTTAACATTTGTTTTCATGACCCCCCTTCCAGTTTAATTATGCTTGTGCCGTGAGACGAATAATTAACGTGGGTCTCTCCAAGAGCAGTGCCACACTTTGTGTTCAAGAACAGCCCGCAGAAGCAGATGTCATAGAACTACTTTCTGAGATCTCTGATCCACACGGCAAGGGGCAGCACTTTGCCACCCACTTTGCCACGTGAGATGATGTAATGTGTGTCACGCAAACAGTAAAACCAATGTGTGATTTCTCAGCTGCAATTTAGTGAAATTAAGAGTACAACTAAATTTAAATTTCGATTTAAAGCTTTCGTGACTGCAGGGATTCATCTTCTTGGTTCTTTCGGTAAAGTCACGTAGAAGGAAAATAATAAAATAATAAAAAATTAAACATAATATAATTCTCACGACGTTTCGGCCACAACGCAAGCAGCCGTCTTCAGGTGGAGAACAGGTCTGTCGAGAGACGGAGTCTGAATGGCTGAAACGTCGTGAGAATTATTTTATTATGTTTTATTTTATTATTTTCCTTCTACGTGACTTTACCGAAAGAACCAATAAAACTAAATTTAACGTGATATTCTTTGTGCATTGGTAACCAAGCTGAGACCATCAACTCGTTACACTTGAGAACTCGGGTTTGGAATTGAACCAAGAATGTCAGTGGTGCCAGCTCTGACCTCTGAGCCACCTCTTGTATTCAGTAATCATCGTACATCTTCACCGAGGAAAAATAAATCCAGTCTCAAGACCTTTCAGAAGGGCCCTGTTGAGGATGTTTTGGCAGTCCCTCGTGGTATTTTAGCGTGTGGGGAGAAACCCGCAGTGCGTGGAGAAAAGATCACGCGAGTGGAGAGCATTCAAAATGCCACACTGATAGGCCAGCAGCCTACTTGCTGTACTCTACTTTTACAGACGAATTGACACCGAATAATTTTCTCAGGCTTACGCCGACCCACATTGACTAATTGTGAATTCATAAATTGACATGCCGTCATACCCAGCCAGATATGTTTTTCTTACAGATACACTCTCAGTATTATCATCAGTATAATCAGCCATGAACAATCCACTGCTGGATGAAGGCCTCCCTAAGCAGTTTTCAATGATGACGAACTGTGTTTACGTTTTTTGTGCGCATCAAGGTACAAACATTTTAATATATTTTTGATCAACAGAATCAAATACAGTAATACCCCGATCTACGTTGCAGATGTGTTCCTGAAAGGTGCCACGACGGATATGGAAACGACTTAAATCAAAGGCGATCTCCAGGGTTAGTCGGTGGTGGAGAAGGCTGCGAGGCGACGGATACGAGAAAGGATGGACGGAGCCGTCAGTGGGTAGTGGTGGCGTTAATAAAGTGATGATGTATTAGCGAAACTACGTCAAAGGAGACGTAGATCTAAGTATCGCTGCATCGATCACGGCCCTGTGATGCAACAGTCGATCGAGCGCCTTACACACGAGCACATCTCAGCTGGCTTCATCACTCCATCGCTGTGGTGGGCATTAAAGCGGCGTCTTCTGACCGAGCGTAAACAAATCATGCACTTTTATATATTCGTTTTTGCTTACGGCGATTTTACAAAAATATTTAAACTTTTCATCAGCGGCTCAATAAATACATTCGGCAAATATATATAAAATGTGTTTTTCTTGTAGGATTCCAGATAGAAGAGTCACGTGACATGTTTTGAACATCCCAAAAGCATTAATGCCTAGCGTCTTTGAGTGGCCTCTCTTCGATTGCCATCTAACGATGCTCTCTTCAGTGACAGCAGTGTCGGGCTTGTTTGAACCGATGCTGGGGAACTGCGAAAAGTCAAAAGCAAAGATCCCCCCAACCCCCTATACTGTAGGAAACGAGCCCTCGTTCGACGAAAACTTGTAAAATAAAAAAAAGTGAATAATCACCAGTGCAATGGAGAAAATAAATTATATAATAAATACACAGACAAAATCCCAGATTTCGAAACCAGTCTAGGGGTTTGCTTGTATTGAACCAAATGCTTCTGAAAGCGTGCACTCCCAGAAGGAAGTGTGGCTGATGGGCTGTAGGGAAACAGGTACTTTTAATATTTTACGTGGAGGGACAGGTACGTGAAGGGGAT